CGAGGCTGCGTCTCCGCTTTCCTCCCCAGCCGCCTGCGGTCGGGCCGGGGCCGGCGGGTGTCCCGGGCTTCCCTTGGCCTGGCCGGCGCTGCGGGCCCGACCTTGTGCCGCAGGAGCCCGGCAGGCACCTTCTCCCTCTCCACCGTGAAGGGGCTTTTGCTGTTCCTTCCAGAGCCCCTGTTATGCCTCCTTTTTTCCCCCAGCCCTGCTAAGCTTCGTGCCTACTCCGGCTGCCTGGCTAAGCGTGCCGCCCCTCGCTTTGCAGGGTAAAGGACACAGCAAGCAGATACTGGTGCTGGGCCTGGATGGGGCTGGGAAGACCAGCGTTCTCCACTGCCTGGCAACTAACCATGTCAAGCGCAGCATGGCTCCCACCGAGGGCTTCAACGCCATCTGCGTCAACACTGAAGAGTCTCAGATGGAGTTCCTGGAGAGTGAGTGGACCTGGTTTAGTACAGAACATAAAATAAATTCCTGTCCTGTGCCCTAGGCATCAGCCCCATATTTTAAAACCCACACATTCCCTTGTGCCTGCTCTGATAACGTAAAGTCGTGATTATTTTCTCCTTGGGGATTCTGCTATCCCACCCCACTTCTCGAAGGAGATGGTGTACCGGTGTTAGAGGAGGTCTGTGTTTGTTCAGGCCTGTCCTCCCAGGAGATCTCTCAGAGAGGGAAGGGTGACAAGTCTGTGTGAAACCACCCAAAGCAGCGGCGTCTCCAGTAAGCCCTGTGTTGTGGTCGATAGCTGTTGTGTGCTGTACAGCGTCTCCTTGGTGCTCATGCCTGGCAAAGGGCAAGAGCAGAAGAGGAGTAAATAATAAGGTGAAAGAAGAGAGGAGGAAGAGGAAAGCTTGGTACGCTTTTTGTTCAAAAGCCTCATAAGTGCTATTGTCTAGTCTTTAGTGGCTTTTGAATGCCTATAGGTTTTCACTGAATTTTCTGTGTTGTCCGCGCTGATCTTTGGGTATCATCCGTGCCTGCAAAAAGCATTTTCTGTGACGCTTTTGGGGTGTCACAGATGTTTCTAGGTGCAGCTAGCTGATGGGGAAGGTAGAGACCCTGGAGTCAGGTCAGTCCCGGGTACAGAGAGGCTGACATCCTAGTCTCATTGGTGCCTGCCTTCTGTGGAGGCAGAAGCTGCCCTTTGCTTCCTGCTGTTTCTGCACTGTGCTGTACCAGTGCTTGACTGGCTCAGTTGGCAGCCAGCCCAAGGACACCTCTGTACCTTTGTCAGCAGGCCTAACAGAGTTGTGCTGTTCCCAGGTAAGCCTTTGGGATGTGAGGATGAGGCCGCTAAGGTGGAGTTTCGTTCCCTGTCTTACTACCATAAATGTCTGTGTGGTGTCTCCGGGAAATCATCTCTCCAGAGATGCTTGCAGTCTGTGCCCCTCTCCTAGTCGGTTTAAGACACCTGTGTCTCCTACTGGGAGGTGCTTTGCCTAGCTGAGCCCAGAGGAACCCACAGTATCTCTGCTCCTGCCCTGGGGGGGGGTGCCTTGGCCCAGCGGTGCGCAACCCACAGCAGAACCTGTTGTTTCTGAGTCGTCCTTCCCTCTCTGGTCCAGGTTGGTAGTGACTGAGATGTGATGGCTGCGATCTGACCCATGGGAAATGAAATGTCTCAGGCCAGTTTCAGCCAGGTAAATCCGTGCATGGCTCTCTAATCTGGTTACTTATCCAGTCTGTACCATCGCCTAGCCCAGGGGTCAGCAGCCTCTGCTGTGATCATGTGGCACAAGGTGATCAGCAGACAGCAGGGTTTTTATTTTGCTGGCTTAGACAGATAGAAAACTGTTCTTGTTCTTTGTGTCATCGTATAGATAAGTGGGAGGTATCTTGCTTTTGCAAGGGATAGGAGCTCCTGGCTTCTGCTGAGCTCCTAGTGGTTTGGGAAAGAAAAACGTTCTCTGTGAGGTGGCTGACCCCTGGGTTATGCTATGCATGAATGCACTTAACAAAGGGAACGGTGTTGAGCCCCCATGTCACAGTACAGAATCGGAGGCATCTGTTCCAAGCGTGATGTGTCAGCTGCAGCCCTTTGGCTTCTTTCCACAGGGGTAGACTTGTGGTTCTGCCTGCAGATACTCTGGGACTCTTGAAGAAGAGTCAGACCTGCCCTAGTGGGAAATGTTGCTTCCCTTTCTACGTTCCGGAAACTACTGAATCATCTTGACTTAAGTGAAAGCAAAATTGCTTTGAAACAGAGCAGAGTCACTGAGGGCAGTAAAAGGTAGCTGACTAGCAAGTCAGCTTTGAAAAGAGCTTCTGTATAAGGTAGGAGGCCATTATAGGGAACCCCAAATGTATTGCTTTGAAAACTTGCTGCATTTGGGGGACTCACCCATGCCTTTTGAGCATCTCAGTACTCTTGAACAAGTGGTTCTTTAGTGTACCTAGGAGAAGACCTGGAGAACTGAAAACACATCTGAAATACTTAATATACTGTTGCTACTCCTGCTCCTATCCAGCTCAGCAAACTACCAAACTCTTTTTGTCCCTGGATGGGAAGAACAATCTCAGGCAAATTGCTGTATATGGTTTCACCACAGAATTATTATAGGATCTGGTTTTGAAGGAGGACAGCTTTCCTCTGTATCCAGCAGCGAAGGGGTCAGGTAGAAATGTATTCTGTGCAAAGATTTTGCCCATGACCTAAGGATTACCTGAAGAGTCTGCTGGGACTTGATTTTTCTCTCTTCCTAGGCACCTCTGGTTTTTGGCAGTATGAAAGCTGTGGGAGTTTTGAACTAGTCCCTAGTGTCATACAAATCTGATGAGAGCTCTCCCCACCTCAGAGCTAAATTTCTTCTTTGGCAATTGTAGGCCTGCTTTGTCTTAAGATGAGACGGGCATGTGGAGATAGGCTATATGGGGACATTCTCACATGATGCTTCTGGATGCTGAACCTCTTTCTGCTCTCCCTACTAGCTTGATAGCAAGAACCAACAAGGCAGAAAGCAACCGTAAGGAAACTGAGCCCAGAATCCTCTCAAAATAGGATCTTAAAATGAAAGACTCCTCCCTGCCCCCTCCCCCCGCCCCGAGCATGCACATGTGCCTGCATGGGACTTGACTGGGGAAAACAAAGCTGTTTCCAGTCTCGTATACAGTAGCCCAAACACTGTGAGTTTTTGATCACCCAAATACTTTGGGTTTTCAGCCCAGGGTCTGCTGTCTGCACCTCTGTGAGCGGTGATGCTTGGATTACTTGGTGAATACTGTGCTGCTGTCTTCTCTTCCAGTTGGGGGCAGTGAATCTCTGCGTTCATACTGGAAGATGTACCTGCCCAAAGTGCTGTTGCTAATCTATGTCGTGGACTCGGCTGATCATGCCCGACTGCCTGTGGCGAAGCAGCTGCTTCATCAACTGATCCAGAACAACTCCACCCTGCCGGTGGTGGTTCTGGCCAACAAGCAGGTAAGAGTTCCCTGCTGCTAGCTGAGCTTGGGATGGCAGCAGCTGGCAACAATGCCTTTTAAAGGAGGCTTCATGCCTTTAAGGAGGCCGCACGTCTGGGAGCTAAGGGATCTTTCTGGGACATCTGCTGGCCACAAAATAAAATAATCTGAGGTTGACTTTTTGGACCTGCAAGATGCAGGTCCTGTGCTTGGAGATGGTGCAGTCAGAGCTGTGGGTGGAAGTAATGGTGAGAACTGTTGTAGAACTGCAAGGTTTGAGAGCTGCGAGGGAGGCCACAGTTAAACGTGGAGTTAGGCTTCTCTTCTGAATGTGTGTCTAGAAGTACCACTTTACCTGGCAGCAGCCGCAAAGTGAAGCACTGTTTTTTGGCTTCAGATTGTCTGGTTGGTTGCTCCTAAGGCTGCTGCTGAAGCACAAGAGAAGAGAGCTTTCTTCACAAGACAGTGCTTTCTCCTAAAATCTTTGTGGAAGTATCAATGACCTGGAATAGAGTTGTGCCTGTGGCACAGTCAGAGAACAGAACAGCCCAGGGTTTTTAAGCCCAGATTTTCTTTTATGAGGGCCATGTGCTTGGTTTACTCTATGCTCTTACCTCCTAAATTTCTAGTAACTTAGGCATGTTACTACTATTTCCTTGTGTTACTTAGGAATGCAAGTGCAAGCTTTGGCTTCATCAAGCACAAACGCTACTACTGATTCTCTAGGTCCCAGAGTCAGAAGCACTGGTGGCTGAGAAGGTATGCAGGGAATGACTGTTGTGTGTTTGCCCTGTTCTTGTAATTCTCTGCTGGGTCCCTGGGATCTTGGGCTAGCAAGACTTTTGTCTGCCTTGTACAGGTAGTCTTACATTATTATTAGAAACACTGGAATTATTAGAAACAGAACTGTACCCTTATTTCTTTGGGAAGAAATTAGGTTAAGGATAAACATTTTTTCCCCATTTTAGGGCATGGGAACTTGATCTCATAGAAGGTACTTAAGAATGGTGCCCACAGAGCCTTTAAGACCTTGCGCCTCCCTGGGTAAAGGCAGTGGCTCCAAGCGGGAATGGTGCCACCACCTCTTGCGACGCAGGAATACTGCCATCACCTCTTGCATCTAACAGGCTCGTTTTGTTTTTGTGTATCAGGACCTGGAAGGTGCATATTGCATCACTGACATCCATGATGCTCTGGCACTGTCTGATATTGGGGACGAGAGAAAGATGTTCTTGATTGGTACCCACGTGGCAGAGGACGGCTCCGAGATCTCCTCCAGCATCAAGGATGCCAAGGAGCTGATAGCGCAGCTGGTTCTGGAAGCACAGTGACAG